TGACGCTCATCGCGCGGGTAGATACCAGACTATAATAGGATGATTGCGCTCCCAAGTGTTGAACCATCGCTCAAAATGCGAGAAGGTGCAGCAATGGCTGAAAGTAGAGAAAAGGGCATCCCAATATTACCGCGAAAGCAAGCACCACGCATGTTTCAAGGAAATCGCAACAGATGCACAGAAAGGAGAAAAAAAGGCCGTGTTTCTTTTGCGTCAAATAAAATGTGATGGAAGAAAGCATTCAGCGTACCCAGATGAACTTGTAAGAGGTGTGTGATGTGGCGCTTTCTGTCACAAAGAGGCTACGGTCATGCGCGCACTTCGGGGCTTATAACACAGCCAGCAAAGTGCACTCTTCAGGGGTATATAGGTTCAAGCCTAGCATTATCGAGTGTGAGGAATGCCATAAACCATTTGTGCGTCTTCAACGACTAAGCAACTTGATTTTCAACACGTGGTGAGTGGAGAAGTGCGCCCGAACTCATTTTCTGGCGTTGCGAGCGCTGTACGGAGCGGCGGAAGAGGGCAGGGCCGCAGCGCACTCCTCAAAGGAGTAGCGAGAAGCATGTACTACACCCTATGCGAAGGCCATAAAAAGCGAGCGCACAGGTGCTGTCTAGCCCGGCCGTGTATAACCACTATTAACCACTATACCACTATTGATGGTGCATTCAGACGACGGACCGAATCCGGATTTGTCGTGCACGCGGACGGCTAATCCGCGGATGATCCGCCTGCAGGCGCATCCACACGACGGACGGTATCCTAGGAGAAAACAGCCGGATTACCCTCGACAGCAGGTTCGGCGTTCACCTGCGCCTGCTGAAAGCAGACCGGTTTGAGAGTATTCAACATGGATGCCCGCAAGAAGCGACGCTTGACTGCGATGTCTGTCGCGCTGTGACAAATGAACGAGGAGTGTTATTCTTTCAGGAGGAAAGGTAGTTGATGGCAGAATGTTCTTTCAACTACATTGTTCGCCACTTGTAGAACTTTTGAACGCGTCCCCCATCCTTTTTTAGAAGCGGCACGCCGCCGGTTGCAAAAGTTGGAATATTTCACCACCATGACGGCTAAGAATTTCGCGTGTCAAACGACGGCGGCGACATTTCCCGAACCACCAAAAGTGATTTCTGCGTATTTAATCACTTGAGAACAAAGCCCCCGGAAACTAAGTAAACCAAGCTCAAGCGTAGATGATGCCGACCAGTCATGCAGCTATCCGCGAGCCATGGAGGACATGCCACGAGCAGACGAAAAGTGTACTGGTTGCCAGAAACCCCGAGCTAATCCGCTGAAGTATCGGCTTTCTCCCGCCAGAATCCCGATGTGAGAAACAGGTCGGGTTCATCCGTCCGCGAGCCCATGGACGAGTCGCGGACGAGGGGAATCGCTGATGTGAGGTCACGTGACGCGCCGTCCGCCCCGCCACATCTGGATTCGATCCGTCGTCTGAATGCACCATAACCACTATTTGCTGCGGTCGCGGCGATGTAACGTCATGGCAAGGACTCGCCTACTCCGCCGCCACTTGCCGCCTTCTGCGCCCGCCGTGTACCCGCTCTAGCAATACGGTAGTAATTACTTCTCAATTTCGTGACACCGCTCTCTCAGGGTGCAAGGGGAATGTTTTCAAAACTGGTGAAAGTTATCCAAGCTAATTTAGCTCGGTAGACAGCTCTCCAAACGGAAGAGTTGCTCTGAAAATGATGACGAAGGACAGTGAGACGCCGAGACGCTATAGTTGTTTTTCTCGCGAACACCAAAAAATGGGTGCTAAGAAAATGTGCTATGTGGTGCTGATGCGGTTATAGCTAAGCATAGATTCCAGGGTCAAAGCATATGTGTGCCGAAATATTGCAAGGGAAACTAGGATGCTTTGAATTCACTGAATAGATAGCGGTTTACCGTGCTAGTTACGCCTGCATTTGCAATTTATCTAAAACATCTGACAGAATTGCACTATTTTTACACGAACCTGTCTGTGAAAAGCCATCACTTGACATATTCTGCAAATAAACAAAACAATACTGCCACACGCAACGATTTTAGAAATGTTGAGATGTACGTTCACTCATATCGTATAAGTATACATCTCTTCTCAACATTCGCCAGATATTAGATAGTCGTATACCCTGCTTTGCTTGAAATTCTGGTTCAATCTACTACCGCGTGACAAACGATAATGTGCAGTTCACGTGGGAGCACCCCTGATGGCAACGTTACCAAAATAAATGCGAGAAAGTCGCGACGGCCCACTCAGCGACGTGACCCAAGTAATTATAAATATCCTTCTCCTCGATAAAGCGATGACTGGTCTCACACTACATGTCTATCTACACGTAATCAAAGTTTATAAGGTGGCTACCTAAACTGGTGCGAGCACGTCAGCACCGTTGCTACGATGCTGCATGAAGACAGAATCTGACAGCAATAATTAAAAATTCCTCACATAACCTCAACTGCACTTCATATGAATAATTTTAGTGAATTATACACCAAAAAATTATTGCAAGAGAAGCGTGAAATGGAATAACATGGTGAGTGAGCAAGTACACAAGGAAAACGGACACAACAGCTGAGGTGGCGCATTCGAGATATCTCGCGAGACTGCACGCGAGCGTGGGCCTTGACACACCACGAAAAGCGCTTTCTGTAGATACATGGATCAACCCGATAAAAGTAACCCTGGCAGAGGAAAAAACCCTCATATATTTTAAAAGAATTGCTCATTAATAACAACTCAACCTAATATTGCATCTTGATTCTCAAGATCACGGCATGATTATGCGTCAATAAGTTTGATGTTTCTAAGCAGAACCCTGTTCTTTTCACACATGTTGGAATGCGGCTGCCGTGGTCAGGAATGGAACTGATCATAAGTGTCAACAGCGCGACACAGGCCTGTTCACCCCTTTCATAATCGGCGAGTGCGAGCACTGTTGCCAATTGCACAGAAGCAACAGTAAACGTTTTGTCGTTTTATCAGGTACATTATCGATTCAGTTTTCGTCATTCATCTGCAGATTGAGACAAGCAAAAATCGAACGCACACAGCGGAACAGCGCACGAAGAGAGCGCATGTTATGTAGGTGCGCTGCGCAGGGCATCGAAGACTCCGTGCCGTGACGTCACCCAGGCCTCCCGCCAAGTGGCACCTCCCCAACTTCGATAACTTCCATAAAGAGGGATATGTTTTATTGAAGAGCGTTTTACTGTTCGAAGTGAGGTCGGGTTGCCTTAGAAAGCGTAGTGTTGAAGCGCACGATTCAATAAAGAAGAACAATGTACATGCTGTACGAACATGTTCTGATTGAATGGGGCCATATCCACCCAGGTATACGTGTCGGTACAAGCCTAGATGAGGCATTGAGTTTCAGGAACAAACATGGAAAGCTGGACACGTCTGCGATATAAGCAAGTAATAGACTGTTAGAGTATTGGTGGCAGAAAAGTAAAGGTAAAGGACAGAAATAGTGGGAAAATGACGTCATTCTGCCTGAAGAGGCAGAGAGATGAAACACAAATTTATATTTTTTGTTATAAATGATCAATTTAATCGAATTAGATAAGGCAATAGGCCAACAGAAAAAGAAAGATTTCTTTTCGTTTTTTTTTTTTCTTGCGAGTCCGGTGGCACTCATGTCACTGCCCCGTTATAAAGGTAACGCTCATAGCATTCCCTTTATCACCTGCTCATAGGTGTTTTGAGCATTTTTATCTACTTATTTACATATCTAGTTAGCTACACTGGTACTCTCGTATTTGCCTCATATAAGTACAGACCAAAATCGGCATAGGGAACACAAGGGTATGAGAACATATATGTAAGATCCAGACATAATGTGAAAATTATGTGTACGTCATGAAACTTTCTTTCAGTCATGTGTGTCACATATTCTATACAACGGGCAGCATGCGGTTTGTATCTACCTTGGAGCAGTGATAATTAACAGACGTCGGTAATTTAAAAAGGAGAACAGTTGGGAAATCCGGCATAGGCAGCGTTGATCCAATGAGTGCAAAGAATAAAAATCAGTATCCCAGGAGGAATCGAACTCCAGCATTTCGTGTGGCAGTCGTGTATTCTACTACAGAACCACGCAAGGTATTGAATCTGCTTTGGTAAAGGTACTGTGCAAACATCAAGTCGGTGCAAAGTAATTATGAATACTATGCTAGCTATCTAAATTTATAAGAACGAGATAAACATTTCATATGTACTCCTACTATACAGGTACACGTCATGTCTCATATGACTCAGAAATCTATATTCTAGCGTTGCTCGGCAAAGGGGGAATGCGCTAATAAATGACATTCACATAATCGCAGAATAGAGTGCACTTTGTTTTCGTAAAAAATATTTACGTAGTTGCCCAACGTCAGTGCTGAGGTTGCGTCAGGTCACCACTTCTACTCTTTAAGAAAACACGTCGACGTGTACCCCGTAACGCATGTCGAAAAGAAAAAAATACAGCATAAACATGTACTCGCTCACAGCTTCGCATGAAACCGATTCCCACAATTCAGGAGATCTGCTGAATTTCAACGTGAAACTGACGGATGCCGGGGTCCACTAAGATTCAACGACGTGTTTCTGTTACGGAAATGACGTCAAAAATTGTACGCAATAACATGTCACTGAAAAAGTTGCGTCAACGGGTATCGAACCGATGACCTCTGAACAAGTACCAAGCACGCTATCCACTGCGCAATGGCAACAGATTAGAACTGCTATACTAACGCGCCCTATAAGTGGAATTCACTTCCGAGCTACCCTGTGCTCCCACAGCCTACGCTTTGGCTATCCGCACAGCATGCGGTAATTGCGGGGAAGGCACTACTTCCGGCCGCCATGACTAGGGTCACGTACACACGTGTGTGCCTCTGCGTGATGCTAAAGTTGAGCCGTTTTTTTGCGCCCACCATCCCTTATCATGCTTGATTGTGCCGTATTTGTGTGCAGCCATCCGACAAAATTGAAGAATGACGATCCTGAGTACACAAAACCGATCAAATTTTATTCCTTGCCGAAAGCGGTCATGTAGCCGTACACTGCATGTTGCGGCGAAGCGTCGTAGCAAGTGATTCAGCCGTCTTCGCCAGGCCGATTTTAACAAGGCTGCGGGGTAAGTGCTTTAGAGTGGTTCACCTGCGAATGGAAACTCAGTCGAGTTCAGATTCTGGCAGCTTTGAGTAATTCAGATGTGAACTAAACACGAAAATAAAGAAATTACCATAACACAGTAAACGCAGTCAGTTTCAATGACTTGGCAGAAACGTCTGCGAAAAGCACAACACAGATGAGTACTTAACGTTATACTATTCATTAAATACATGCACGGTACACTCACACGCTTTTGTTTTTCTCGTTAAAATGACCTGCCTCAGTACACTTGCGTGAAAGCACACGTGGCTTGGTCAAGTGAATAATTTAATGCTCCTGATACTTTTCATTAGATTGATCAAAGCTGTGGGTGAGCCAACCAGGTCGAACTTTCAGTCGTCATGTGCAGTTTATTATAATCTAATCTGCCCCGTGCAATGGTTTTTCACGTGCAAGTTTCTAAGCGCTGTTAAGCCCGACACTTCAACCATATTCGCACTAGTATCAAATTCAGGGATAAACTCGAATTTAGCGCTTGCAGATAGAATATAATTTCAGATTATCTTACTTTTGCGCCCACAGCGACGCAGTCACCGTGACTTGTCAGCGAAGGTTCGTGGACAAACCCACTAGTCAAGTATCCAATGATTTCTTGGCTTTGAGTCGTTCGTGCGTCACAAAACTTGTCGTATATGCACCAAGCAGTCCGTTATGTCTCAGAGTTCCTCCTTTGAAACAAGTCTGGTCTCAAATGCGGCCTCCTCGCTCGTGAGAATGAGTGGGTCAATGCACACTGCAGCGAGCCACTTTGTCCGTGTATCGCGGTCTGTCGTCTGAATGCATGGTGCATTCGGACGACGGACCGAATCCGGATTTGTCGTGGACGCGGATGGGTAATCCGCGGATGATCCGCCTACAGGCGCATTCACACGACGGACGGCGTCCTAGGAGAAAACAGCCGGATTACCCTCGACAGCAGGTTCGGCGCTCACCTGCGCGCCCTGAAAGCAGACGGGTTTGAGAGTATTCAACAAGGATGCCCGCAAGAAGCGACGCTTGACTGCGATGTCTGTCGCGTTGTGACAAATGAACGAGGAGTGTTATTTTTTCAAGAGAAAAGGGAGTTGCTGGCAGAATGTTCTTTCAACTACATTGTTACCAACTTGTAGAACTTCTGAACGCGTCTCCCATCCTTTTTTCTTTTTTTTTCAGAAGCGGCACGTCGCCGGTTGCAGAAGTTAGAATATTTCACCCTCATGACGTCTAAGAATCTCGCGCGTCAAACGACGGCGGCGATATTTCCCGAACCACTAAAAGTGATTTCTGCGTATTTCTTCACCTGAGAACAAAGCCCCCGGAAACTAAGTAAACCATGCTCAAGCGTAGATGATGCCGACGAGTCATGCCGCTATCCGCGAGCCATGGAGGACATGCCGCGAGCAGACGAAAAGTGTACTGGTTGCCAGAAACTCCGAGCTATTCCGCTAAAGTATCGGCTTTCTCCCGCCAGAATCCCGATGTGAGAAACAGGTTGGGTTCATCCGTCCGTGAGCCGCGCGGACGAGTCGCGGACGAGGGGGATCGCTGATGTGAGGTCACGTGACGCGCCGTCCGTCCCGCCACATCCGGATTTGGTCCGTCGTCTGAATGCACCATTAGCATCAGTGTCCATTTTTCGGCGTACACGCTCAAGCGAGCCGTGAACGCATCCCATGACTGCAGCAGCTTCACAAATGGTAAATCTAGTACCTTTGAAATCCAAATAAAATAAAACAAGAGCAACGTGCCCGCAGTAACTTGTGTGCACCTGCTGGAACCGCTGGACTCAACTGCCGGTATGCCGCCGGCTGCTGGTATGGTGGCCTTCAAAATGGTGGCCACGCGGTTGCTAGCTCAGCCAACGCCTCCTGTGAAGAGGCGTTGGCTCAGCTGGTGCACTTCTAGCAGCCGCGCCCACCAAGCTGATGTCACGTGAGTACAAGCTATATATCTCTCGCATTTTTCTCTGAGAGTGCTCTTTGTCATCGGGGTAGTGTCGCCCTCTAGCAACGTTAAAGTAATTCCTCATGACTTTCTTCTCCGCGGTTAACACCTGCAAAGCGTACTGCTGCGTGTCTGTGTCACTCGGCACGGTTTCAATACTGGTGCAATGTTTTCAATGCCTTAACGCACCGCGAGGTGTAGGCCTTAGTCCAAACGTCGTTGAGCCTAGATTTGAGAGCGTCAGTCTCGCTCATTGCACTAGTATTAGACTAGTATTGAAACCGCGCCGAGTGCCCCTCGAAGGAAAACAAAATAGCCCTGCAACACGTGCCCACCTAACGTGGATGTAATAGCGTGTTCCTCGCTTACGCGGACACCGAGAAACGTCGTGGTCGGGCTACAGGGGCGAGACGACGCGCTTTCTTAAATACCACAAAGTTTAATCACACTTTAACAGCCCGAGGGAGGGCGCCATTAGTCCAATTTCTGCTTTCCATGTAATAATAATAGTAGTAATAATAATAATATGGAAGGTCGAACGTTCCAAAACTACCATATGAATATGAGAGACGCCATTGCGTAGGGCTCCGAAAATTTCGACTACGTGGGTTTCTTTGGCGTGCACCCAAATCTGAGCGTATGGGCCTACAGCATTTTCAGCTCCATAGCAAATACAGCCGCCGCAGCCTGAACTCGATCCCAAGACCTTCGGTATAGCAGTCGAGTGCCACAACCACTAGATGCGACGCTCACCTATCACGCCTCTTTCTCTGATTATGATTTGGCGGTTAACATCTACAGATATCACAATGGTTTGTTGAATAAATTCATCGTAGATGTTAGTCGCCGGGATGGAAATGTACCAAGCGTCAACGAGGGTGCGTCTACGTTGAATAGTGCCACGGCTGTTGCACTAAAACGCATACATTCGACAAATCCTCCTTTATCAAGGTACAGTAAACATTCAATTACATCTGTAAAGGTGCAATTTACTTTCGTACTATACAGATTGATATGACGGAGGGATCAACCATGTTTTTTTTTTCAATGAATGATTGCCGTTATACTTTTTCATAACTATTTCACTTAATTGCATACATTCAGGCCTGGGTGTATTGCCACGTTCCTTTCCTCAAGTTTTGTTATCACCCCGTTACACTATGTTAGTGCAAACCACGCCTACGATGTTTAATAAGCTCCAAGGCTTTGGTAGATTGCCCCGCCGCGGTGGTCTAGTGGCTAAGGTACTCGGCTGCTGACCCGCAGGCCACGGGTTCGATTCCCGGCTGCGGCGGCTGCATTTCCGATGGAGGCGGAAATGTTGGAGGCCCGTGTACTCAGATTTGGGTGCACGTTAAAGAACCCCAGGTGGTCAAAATTTCCGGAGCCCTCCACTCCGGCGTCTCTCATATAATCAAATGGTGGTTTTGGGACGTTAAACCCCACAAATCAATCAGGCTTTGGTAGATCGTTTTGTTATAAGATCACGCACACTTCGGGAACGTCAAAGATTATTCGGGAACCTACGTCGTCACTAGCGATAACGCTAGAATATTTGATGGCGAGGGTATAAATACCGACACGCTTCGCTGCTTGTCAGTTGATCGACGGCCGACGCTCTGCTCGCCACTATCAGTGCCAGGGTCTTGCTGTAATCTGATTTTCCTTTTACGTGGCGACAAGTTCGGCTCAAATAAAGAGTTTATTATTCGACCCGTAACTGCTCCCTTCTTCCGCGTCGTGACCCCGTGACATCTGGTGGAGGTGCTTCTTCTTTCATGTACCGGATGCCCCCGCCGATCCGTGAACCCAGCCCACGTCGCGAGGAAGGAGCTGACGCCAACGCCGAACAGCGAGCAAGCCGCAGGCAGAGGGGACTGCAGCCAGAATACGGGCCGCTGCCCGAATAAACCAGGCAGCCCCGGATTGTGACATCGACTGCAGCAACAATGACCGCCCCGTGCAGCCTGCCCCAGTCGTTCTCCGCAACCCTAAGAGCCGCTAACTTTCCGTGGTTCGCCACTAGAAGACCCGGAAAACTGTATTGAAAATTTCGACCACGTCGCCATCTTTAATTACTGGACCGACGATGACAAGCTCCGGCATGTGTATTTCGCTTTAGAAGATGCTGCTCGGGCGTGGTTCGAGAATCAAGAGCGCAGCCTCATTACTTGGGACGTCTTTCGCGGTAGGTTTCTCACCACTTTCGCAAGTGTGGTTCGCAAGAAGAAGGCTGCAGCCCTCCTTGAAACACGTATGCAGATGCCAAATAAAAACAGGGCGATATTCACGGAAGATATTGTCGCTAGGTGAAAATAACAGAATACAGAACGACGGTGCGACCAGGAAAAACGAGGTCTGTATCAACAGAACAAAAGAGCAGCCGCTTCGACGTCGTCTTCCTCGGAGGAACCGTGGGTGCTGTCCACGCTCATCACTTCTTCGTCCTCTGTCTTCTTGCCCGGCCTTTAGCCGTGACATTAACCTCCCATTCAAGAAAGCATCGTCGCGATGCTTTATAATCAAAGTGGTTTGTACTCGTTGGAAACGCATGAGTTCATTCGGAGAAATAAGGCTTCATGCGTACCACGTGCACAACTTGAGCATACCTTCGACGCCTTAAAGAGTGCGCAGTATCAGGAACAACCTCATAATTAATGTCACTTAGACGTCGTAGAACTTTATAGGGACCGAAGTACCGTCCTAACAGTTTTTCTGAGAGACCACGGCACCGAATAGGAGTCCATATCCTAACTTTCTCTCCTGGCTCGTAGGAGACTGGTCGGTGACGAAGGTTGTACCGTCTTGAATCGTAGTCCTGCTGGCGACTAATACGTAGGCGTGCAAGTCATCGTGCTTCTTCGGCAAGCTGAGTGATATAAGCAGCATTTGTTTCGGCGTCTTCGCACTCATGCGGCAGCATAGCATCCAGCATAGTGGTGACTTCACGACCATGAAGAAGGCGGAATGGCGTTGTTGTTGTTTCTTGATGAGCTGTGGTATAGGCGAACGTGACATACGGCAAGATCTCGTCCCAGTTTTTATGCTCCACATCGACGTATATGCATAGCATATCCGCAAGTGTCTTGCTGAGACGCTCCGTAAGACCATTCGCTTGCGGATGATACGCCGTTGTTCGCCGGTGGGATGTGCCACTAAGTCTTAAAACTGTATGTAATAGTTCGGCTGCGAATGCAGTTCCCCTGTCAGTTATTACCACTGATGGAGTGCCATGCCTCAGCACCACATTCTCTACGAAAAATTGGGCTGCTTCACTTGCCGTGCCCCTCTCCAGAGCCCTGGTTTCGGCGTAACGAGTGAGGTAGTCGGTGGCTACTATAATCCATCTGCGACCTGCCGATGAGGTTGGAAATGGGCCCAAAAGATCCATTCCGACTTGTGCGAATGGAGTAACAGGCACGTCAATAGGATGGAAGAGGCCTGCTGGTTTGACGAGTGGAACTTTTCTGCGCTGGCAATCAAGGCACGTCCGAACATAGTGAACGGTTGCCGTCAGTTTTAGCCAGTAGTATTTCTGCCTCACTCTGCACAACGTACGCGTGTAACCCAAGTGGCCGGATGTTGGTTCATCGTGGCATGCCTGTTATACTTCGCTCCTTAGAAATGTTGGGACGAGAAGTAAGTAGTCGTTTCCGTGTGGCGTGAAGTCCATCTTATACAGGTCGTCGTTGCGCAAGCAAAATGCCGAAAACCCTCTCGCAAACAGTCTAGGTACAGCTGAAGTGCGCCCCTCTAAAAAACGTAGTATGGGTTCTAGTTCGGGGTCGTCTAGTTGCAGCTGTGTGACAGTTGCCGTGTTTACAACGCCGACAAAGGCTGTATCATCATCTTCAGCCGTCGCAGGTTCGTGTGGCGCACGAGAAAGGCAATGAGCGTCTGAATGTCGCTTCCCCGATCTGTAGACCACCGCCATGTCAAATTCTTGAAGCTTCAGGCTCCAGCGCGCCA